GGGAAACCCCCGGCCGATGCGCAGGTCCAGCTCCTGGCGGGCGTCCACCGAGAGCGCCTCGTTGTGGTCGGGCTCGCCCAGGCGGCTCATGGCGTTGCAGATGTCCGTGTCGGTGATGGAGCTGAACCTGGCCCGGAACACCGTCTTCTCGCTGCCGTGGGCCTTGTTCATGACAGGAAGGACGGCGTCGAGGACCTGGAGGGCGGGCACCCGGTGTGATCAGAGATCTGTCTCCTACTCCAGAACTCACCCGGGAACCCGGGGCCTCAGGGCTACACCTCGGTGTGTGCAAGACCCCGTCTCCTGCCCCTGCCCCTGCCTGACCCTCCTCCGTCTTTCTCCCCTTCCGGAAGCCTCAGTCTCTCCACAATGCCCCGGCTGCTCGGATGCCTCTTCTGTCCACAAGCCCGTTTCAACACCTGGTGTCTCACTAAGGCCCTGCTCACTGCTGCCCTCCACCTCTCATCCCCTAAACCAGGAGATGTTATTGCCAAGCACATGTGGGACCTCACAGTCCCCCAATCTGTCCCCCCTGCCCCATTTCCTCTCCTAGATGGGAGTGCTTGGAGGGCTGGGAGGAACTTGTAAGAGACGAGAGAAAAAGGCAGGGGAGGAAAATTGAACGAAGAGGAAAAGGAAATGGCCGAGTGGGCGGGTGGGGCCTGGGAGGCAGGGGCTGCAGGACGGTGGGGTCTGGGCCAGGACTCACTAAGGAGGCCAAGCAGTTGGGGCCCGGGCACCAGGGGCTGCAGCACAGTGGGGTGTGGGTCCGGGACTCGCTAAGGAGGCTGAGCAGTGGGGACCTGGGCGCCAGGGGCTGCTGCAGGACAGGGGGGTCCAGGGCCGGGACTCACTAAGGAGACCGAGCAGTGGGAGGGGAGGCACCGCCAAAGCCTGGCCATGCAGCTGCCTCACAGGCAGAGGTGGCTTCCCTTTTGAAGGGAGAGAGTCCTGAGAGCTGTCACCATTCTCCACTCCCAAAGGAGCAAGGGGAAGAGTTGGAGGGACAGAGCATGATTGAGTTTGCTGCGCTGGAACGCAGGTGTCCCGAGCGGCCCTGTCTCATGGAACCACCTTCTAAGCTCAAGGTGCACCTGGTCCTAGGTAAGAGCGAGGGGCACAGAGGCATGGGGGTGACCTGTGCAGGGCCGCAGCATGAGGGCCATGAGGCACACAGAAGTGGCCATGGCCAGGAAGGGCACCAGGGCTGGGACACACACAGGGCGCAGAGAATGGCCACCTGCTTCCCTGCAGAGAGGGTTTCCCGGGCGATGGCTGGGAGGGAGGAGGCGGGAGGGTGCTCTGGGTGGGGTGAGGACACGCAGAGGCAGGGGTGAGGAGTAAGTGGTATGGCACAGGCAGGGTGTCAACCAGAGGTCCCAGAGGGGGGCCAGGCTGGGCCTGCATACTGAGGACTAAGCTGCCCCCGACAGCTCCTCTGAAATGTGCATCCACCCAGGAAGTGCTGCCCTTCCACACCCACTGGCACCAGGGTCCCCAACAAGTGAAGCAACACTCCATCGCCCTTAGGGTTTACACCTTAAAGTGTCTACAGAATTTCTAAGTTAAAGGGGCAGGCTTTTTTTTTTTTTTTTAAAAGGTTTTTGCCAAAGGGCTCGCATATTGACAGAGAAAGACACAGGGAAAGTGAGAAATCACCCCCTGGAGGGATGGCCAAGCCACAGTCCCTTCTCCTCCATTCTCCTCCTAGGATTTTGGGCATGCACGCATAAGCGCCTGGCAGGATTTTCAAACCTCCAGGTCCAGGACTCAAACCACGTTTGGCCATGTGGGAATGCAGCTCCTTAACCATCACGCTACCGTTTGGTGCTGGGGGTGGGGGCAGGGGGCACTTTTAAGCCAATAGTTAATTCCTTGCTTCAGCCCCAGCGTGAGCAGCGAAAGGCTGACGGTGAGGACCGAGGCGGGCCCCGCGCTCACCTCGAAGCAGATGTTCTCGCCCTCCTTGTCGCAGTCCAGCCACAGCACGATGTAGTCGCAGCCTCTGCCCTCCACCTGCCACACAGCGCGTGTCGACACCCCTGCACAGCCCGGTCCCCACCATGCCCACCCACGGTGCTCCCCGCCCGTCATGGGAGGCAGGCCCCAGGCCCAGGCGCAGGGCCGTGGTTAGGAGTGGTGGTGCCCGGACAGAGCGAGGAGCTGGCTGTAGTGACGCTGGCTCCCACTCAGGCAAGAGTTTAGCTCAAAACTGCTGAGTTTTGGACAGGAAAAAAAAAAGAATCATAATTGCCATATGACCTCATCCCTGGAAATGAGATGGGGGAAGGGCTGAAATGAAACAACCCTAAATGTTACCGGTGGTCATCTCGGGTGCTGGGATTATCAGTAACTCCTCCTTCTTTCTAATCTTTATGTTTTTAATTAATTAATTAATTTACTTTTTAAGAGAGATTTTTGCTGTAGGGTGTGTGGGCTCGTCAGAGAGACAGAAAGTGAGAAATCACCCCTGGGGGATGGTCATGTAGCGATCCCTTCTCCTCCATTCTCCTCTCGGGATCTTGGGCATGCATGCACACACACCCGGCGTGAGTTTAAGCCACCGAGTCTGGGATTTGAACTGCGGTCGCAGCTGTGGAAGTCCAGCAACGTAAGCATTACGCCATCTGCTGGCCTCTCTAGTTACCTTTAATTTCTAATTTTGTATGTGTCTGTATGTTTTAAAATCAGGAAGGAAAAGACGTCACGGAAACATGCGACTGTCCAAGCAGGCTGCTCCGTTGCGCACAGGTGACAGGCTGCTGCGGGGAGGGCCAGGCCTGAAGTGCCCCAGGGGCCAGCAGGGGCATGCTCAGAAAGGGCTGCCTGCAAGGGCCTTAGCGTCCAGGATGGGAAGGGCTCAGACAACGGTGGGCAGAGGGGTGCAGCCCCAGGGTGCAGGGAGGCAGGGGAGGGGCCTCCCGGAGTGCTCACGCCCAGCCAGCCCGCACCTGCAGGAACTTCACCATGTTCAGCTTGGGGTTGGCCTCCTTCTTCTCTGTCGGGGCCTGGCTGAAGAGCTCTGCGGGGTCCACCTTGTCCCACTTGTTATACTTTCCTAGAAACCACAGCCACGATGACGTCGAGTCTCGTTTCACAACTCACACGGGCTCCGCCTGCATGCTGGTCACAACCCCAGGCAGGTGGCGGTCTCAAATCACAAATCAGGAGAGGGAGGCGGGGAGGACTTGCCCGGCTCACCGCCATGGGCAGGGCTCTGGACAAGCTGTCCGCCCGGCACTGCAGCCTCTTCCCTGCTGGCTACGTCACACCCTGCCACCCGCAGACGCCACGCCAGCTCCCCACGGGGCTGCTGCTCCAGCCTTGCTTCTGGGGCTCCCCCAGGGCCGGAAGCACCATTCCTAGACTGGCCACTCTGTCAGACCGTGAACCATGCAGCTCATGCCCGTCTTCTCTTCCGACCTGGGTTTCTGGGAGGCTCTCTCCACCCAGTGCTCGGCCGCTCCTGTGGAGGGTCAGCCTCTTTACCCTCGCTCCTCTACCTCCACCTTCTTCTCTACTGAAAGCCCAGCTTGTGCATTCGTGCATGCTCTGCTCTTAGGTTCTACTTCTTGCAACCTGAGAGAATAGGGTCAGACAGAGCCAAGTTCAAATCCTGGCTCCCCACCTGCCAACTGGAGATACAGCGTGGGGTCCACATGCTTGGCCACACAACCCAGCTTAGTCACCCCATTGTCACTGCTGTTGTCAGTGACACAAGGACAACTGCTGAGGCTCCGCTGTGGGCAGGCCCTGCGGCACTCTGAGCACTCTCCCTTCACGGCTACACAGAGCCCTCGGCAGTGCTGGAAGCAGGCGGCACTGCTGGGAGACCCTCTCTCATACAAGGAGCAGGACCTCATAGGGTCCAGGCACTGCCTCGGACCTGCCAGGGAGTCGGCAGAGTGGGGTCGGCCGTGGGCTCACCTATGAAATCCAGGGTCATCACATGACCACAGACGGACGTCATCTTGAAGCGGACTGGCTGGCCGGCAAAGGTTCCGGTGTACTCGTGGACCGAGCACGCCCCGTTCAGGCCTTTGTGTGAGGACATGGTCCCTGGGGAGACAGGCACACGGTGAGTGTCCACTGAGCTGTGGGAGACGTGACGCCCTGGGCCCAGGTGCCACCTCACCGAGGCCAGCGCCCTCCTTCCCCTCAGGCCATGGTGGGACACTGGGTACGGAGATGTCCGGTGCTCTGGGCAACAACATCTGTGACCACCTGGCATGGCATGCCCCAAAGCAAGCCCCAGGCTGGCGGGGGCTGGGAGCAGATGGCCTTGGGCTCTCTCTCTTTGCTGTTCGCCTCTGTTTCTGCTTCCTGCCAATCCACGTTTACTCAAAGTCACCAGGAGCTTCCAAGTTATCAAATCCATGGTGCCTTCCCGCCCTCCACTGAGGGCCCCCAGCCGAACGCTCCTGCCCGCTGGAGACCAGACGCCACCGCCCGGGTCTCCTCTCCCCTTCGGGCCACACCTTCTCAGCTGCCCCAGAGTCTCTTCCTCCCCCGACCTCTGGACCAAGGGGAGGTCCGGCAGTCTTCTGCCATTTCTGGGAACCCAACACCCAAATGCCCTTCCTATTCAGAAGGAATTCAAACACAGGAGGGGAAACAGCACCCCACCAACCACCCCTGAGGACAGAGAGGGGCGGCCCCATGGAGTCCTAGGGACTGTGGCCAAGGTTACTCTTGAGTGACATGACAGGGGCTGAAGCTGAGGCAGGGTCCAGAAGGCAGTGGCCAGTGCCTGGTGGGGACAAAACTGTGATATGGCCTTGCTAGGCGGGGGCGGGGTCCTGGCCGTGTCTTCCTCCCACGGTTGGTTTCTGCTGCTTATCATTCGCACCTCGACTAGCACAGCCATCCGACCATGACAACACTTCCCTCTTCACTGTGAACGGTGACCCCTTTCTTCTGGGAAGCCAACGTATCCCCTGGTGACAAATACAGAGGTGCCTCCTAATGCCACCTGACCTCAAGGGAATCGAATCCAGCCTGGGCGGAATCACTGCAATCAATCAAACGCCCTGTGACGTCTCCACGACTGTGCTCGCGAACTGAAGCCGTGACGCGAGCTCAGGGCTGGTGTCTCCTACCTCGGGAGAGGATCTTGGCGATGGACTGAGCCAAGGACGGCTTCTCTGCAACCATGAGCACGGTCTTCATCTTGTCTCAGAGCTGCCAGGGCCCCTGGCCCTCCCGCTCCAGTTCAGGGCGACGGCAGCGGCAAAGTTGGGGACACCGCAGTTTCCTGCAGCTCGACACGCCTGGCAACACTGACTCCTAAGGAGAAGAGGCACTCAGAAATAGCAACACTCCCAAAAGAAGCTATACCGCTAACCAGGCAAATCAGCTTAAACAAGGGCCAGCAGGGTGGCGTGGTGGTTAGGGAGGCTGGATCCCAGACGGCCGACTGCGTGGTTCAAGTCCTGGACCCGGTGGCTTGAAATTCATGCTGGGTGCACATGTGTGTGCGTGCCCAAAATCCCAAGAGGAGAGTGGAGAAGGGACAGCAGCACGGCCATCCCCTCTGGGGTGATTTCTCACTTTCCCTCCCTCTCTCTCTCTCTCTCTCTCGACAACAGCAACTCAGTAAGGGCGTGGCCTTGTCCACCACCCCATTCTCCTGTCCGCTGATGCTGCCCCACTCTCCCCAGCCTCAGGCGACCCGTCTCCAAGAGCCCAAACGCCCTGCCTGCAATCCAGCTGCAGCGCCGACAGGGAGAGACCCGAGGGTGGCATGGAAACTGACCACCTGTGACTGTCCAGGCCGTCGGGACATCTGGGAATGGACCACGAAGGAGGAGGCGACCCGGTTCCTCTCCCAAGTGTTCACGCGGCCATATTTAGAAGTCACTGAGTGCTGTGCTGACCTCGGGCCGACCTCCCCCAGAGGAGGACGAGAGCAGAGAAGGGCCGACACGTGGCACTCCTGTTGGGGACCGAGAATCCCCACAGGTTGACTGGGGAGCACTTTTGGAACCTGTCCTGGCGGCAGAGGACGTGGACATCCAAGGTTTGCTCAATGCTCCATGTGAGACCGCAGCCCGCAAGCCAAGGAGACACTGAGACCCTCAACGGCAACTGACTCCCTGCAGGGAGGAAGCCCGGTACCGGAGCAGCAGAGGGTGAGGGGCTGTGCCTGGCGACACCGAGGGCTGCTCCACGTGCTCGTCGCCCTGCGGTGTGCGGCTGTTAGTGTCGACAAACAGCACAGAGGCAGAGCCCTCAACACCACTGGCAGAACACCGACCTCACTGCATGTGGAGTCTGTGCAGACTCCAAACCTATGACTGTGTCTCTTCTAGCGTGACCTGCAGTGGGTTTTTGTTTTTGTTTTTTGTGTTTTTTTTTTTGAGAGAGATTTTTGCCACAGGGCACATGCACTTGCCAGAGAGATAAGAGAGAAAGAAAGCGAGACATCACCTCCCAGGGGGATGGTCATGCCACGACCCCCTCCCTTCCATTCCTCCTCTTGGGATTTTGGGCATGCACGCACATGTACCCGGCATGAGTTCCAAGCTGCTGGGTCCAGGACTTGAACCACAGTGGGCCATGAGCAAGTTCAGTGCCCCCACCACTACACCACCTATGGCCCCTAAAGTTTCTTTTTTCTTTTTTCTCTGCTCTGAATAAAACTGAACTGTGGGTCCTAGACAAAAAGTGGCATTTGGGGCTGTTCCTCTTTCTGGAAAGTGCTTTCTGTCTAGTTGATTGTCCAGTTAACTTTGGTGACCTTTTCTTAAAAAGCTGTCATCATAAATAAAGTTGCAAAACATCTTCTGAATAGAATGAACAAAATATTATCTTTTTTTTTTTTTGAGAGATTTTTGCTACAAGTCACACGCACTCGCCAGAAAAACAGAGACAGAAAGCGAGAAATCACCTCCCCTGGGGGGATGGCCACGCCGCAATCCCTTCTCTTCCAGTCTCCTCTCGGGATCTTGGGCACGAAGCCACCAGGTCCGGGACTCAAACCGCGGTCCACCACATGGGAGTCCAGAGACATAGCCATTACGCTAACTGCTAGTACCGAGAAATAGGTTCTTTACGGTAAGCCATGTGGTATATCGAATTCAATCTTGTGGCCTATCAAAGTTCTGGGCCTGCAATTTGCCCTTTCAGTTCACAAGGCATGTGCTAAGGGGGTACTAACAGTAAACCACCCACACTGGGACTGCAATTAGGACTGAAAGTGAATGAAAAGGCAGCTTAGCCTGTTAGCAGCCTACCAACTTTCACCAGTAATACCACCCTTGTTATGCGTCCTGTGGAAGACACTATAAATACAGAACTTTCCTTTCATGTCAGTGTCTTACTAACGAATAGATTTAGCTTGAGTCCTATGGTGTCCCACTTCAGTAATTTTGCCACCTACAGAATCAGTAAAAGAGGGAACGCAAGCTCCTCCTTTGTATTAGACATACAATAGTAATAAACATCGCTTTATTTAATCTTGCCAACGACAATCCTATAAGGCAAGCATTATACTTTTTTTAAACCATGAGTGAGGGACCAGCAGTTGGTGCAAAGGCTATGTTACTGGACTCCCACGTAGCCGACCGCGGTTTGAGTCCCAGATCCAGTGGCTTAAACTCACACTGGGCGCGTGTGCGTGCGTGCCCAAGATCCCGAGAGGAGAATGGAGGAGAAAGGATTGCAGCATGGCCATCCCCCCTGGGG